TTAAGTTAAGTATAATTTGAAATACTCTTAACTAATAAATTTAAATTAGTACTAACCATTTTACATCAATGTTTGATTAATATTTCTAGTCTTCACACCACGGTCACCTACAATACAGAAAAGAAAAATAAAAAAAATACAAAGTTGTTGAATTAACTTAAAATTCATTATTTTCTTGCACTAAATAATGTAGTAAAATTCATACCAAATGTAGTAATTTCATTTATATATTATTTCCCCATGAAGCAGTAAACTTAATTCCGATGAAAATTTATAATTTTACATTTCCCCAAAACGCAGTAAAATTCAAATTCAATGCAATAAATTCATAAAATGAGAAAGCAGTACTAACCTTTTTAATATTTTCATTCACTCGCACAAGAATTCTATCCAAACTCGCACAGCTCGCCAACGAAGAATTGTTTAAATAATGATTTTAAGTTTCATGCTTTCACTATAAACAACTCTAACACACGATAACAAGTTTCAAACTTTCCTTCAACCCGGTTGGAAAGGAATTATATACTAAACCAAACTAACCAATGCAGCCCACTAAACACCACAAATCATAAAATAACAGCATGACTAAGAAAAGAAAACCAACGGTACCCAAACCGGATTAACCCAGCTTAAAACTGGATAATTTATTCTTTTGAAGACTATTATAAAGTCTAAGAAAGAAATAATAAAACACAAAAAAGTCGCAAGACAAACCCATACCAAAAACAATTTGATTTTTGAAAAAAGGACACAACCAAAGTAATATAAGAAAGACCAAAATAAAACCAACACAAAACGTTATCACAAAACAGGACCTCTCAGAGAAACAGCATGCAATCATACTCCCACTCCTGGCCTAACCCACCAGAGAGGACGTCCTGAGCATGCTCTATAGCCGGCCTAACCCACCGCGCTACATCCACGCTTTGTGACCACACTTCTATGTTTAATAAGAGGTACTCAAGGGTGAGTAACTCTTCAAAATAGCCGAACTAAAACAAAACGCTTTTGTGAAAACAACTAACTATATTCATGATTAAAAAACCGAACTAACATAATTTTATAAAATGTAAATCATACTTTGCAGTATATAGATCATACACAACAACAAAGACGAACATCCAAAGACTAGATGACCCCATCACACTCGAACAAAAGAATGGCTAAACAACACCGACATGCCGTCCACAATCACGACTCAAAGGATTTAGAGTACGACTTGACTTCGCAGAAAAGGACTTCATTGAACTAGACCAATGACCACCTCGATGCTCAAGTATACGTACAGATCCGAGTTACAAGGCATCCCTTCCACACACGATCTTCACGCCATTCCCAGACGAGGTTGCACACAAAACAAGTTCTCTACATAATACAGAAAAACCTGACATAGCAAACCATCTTGAAATCGGATTGATTTCATTGGGAATCACAGTCGTTGTCGAGTGACGAAACAATAACTTCCTATCCCTGATTCCAGCGTCCTGGAACGTTCTTCCTCAAGAGGAACCGGATAAGAAAATGATGTTCGCCAAATACCAACGTTCATCATCCATCCTTCAAATTGCAGAGAAGAAAGATAGTTCTAAAAAACTCTGTAAAACCCGGATGGGTGGAATCTGATCTAAACTACATTTTATTATTGGATAAGTTATATTTTTTACCACTGTAAAATATTTAATATTAACCAATCATAATCCATCCAACTAACAACTCACTTATTTGTAAGTGCTGAAATTACTTGTAATTTCAGCACCAGAGAGATTTGAATTTAACTTAGAAATTAGTTGCCTCTCCAAGAGAACTTCAGCTGCCACAATAAGCCAGTATACTCTAGATCTATTGAGCCTAGCAGAGACTAGTTAAACACCCTGAGACTAGTAGATATAAGAGTAAGATTAGGATCGGTATTAGACTAAGAAGTTGCACGAATCTATCCGGCCGAAAATAAGATAGCGTGACTAGCAGACGGTGTACCCTATCCGAAATTACTCTATGAGTTAACCACATCGGTTATAACTCATTTTTAAACCTCTTTTAAGCTCTAAAAATCGATACTTTCAGAAGATTTGACACAGCGTTATCATGAATTTGTCTGTTAACTGTTCACACTCAGTCTTCTTCAAAAGAATACAATTTTAGCCAACTTTTAATTTTCGAAATTAATTTTTTGTGCATTGAAATTGATAGAAACAAAGCTGAAAATGAAACAAGATTTAGTATTGATCAACTGAGATAAAAGCAAATTCTAGAAGATGCGTTTTGATATTTTTGATTGCCTCCCGATTATCAAAAGTGAAAACAAATCTATCGGGTGCTTTTTCAAATAAATCTGAACAAGATGTCATTAAATGTCTGATTAAATGAATTGATATTTAAAATTGAAAGATTTTTCTGTCATGATTCCAACTGCATTTAAAATTGAATTACAATCGGTCAGAGAAAAATTCCAATAGTTACCAAGATTGAAAATTATCTGTTTTGTGTTATTTGGAAATGAAGGAGCCAAGAAGTAAAATAGATCTCACATTCTATAAGCTATTGGGAAAATTTATCAAAAAAAAGGTTTTTCTGTTTTTTGGCTTAAACACTACTAGTCGGAGCCTTTATTACTTCCTGGCTTCCTGTACTAAAACCGACATTTTCTCTTTTTTGGACAATTACAGAAGAACCCTCTTCTGTTTATTGAACGATTACACTGATTAGATTTATAATGATATTATTCAAACCGATATTGCAAACAATCGCTAGTGTCATAATTTGGAGGGCATTTGAAAATTTTTTTTTTTTTTCTAGTTTTTTTTTCAGATATTTGCACTACCGGACATTGTATAATCAATTTCAACAGTCCATCAATCCTCGAACCGGCGGTCGGTTTGTTCGAAAAACAGAAAGTCTAATAGAAATGCTGCACCGATGAGTAATGCTTTGGCCTTCACGTCCAAATCCAATGGAAAATGGATAGAAAACTCCAAATTTGAGACATATCCATCATAAGTCGATTGGCGCACTCTCTTTTTTGGCAACAGATTACAATACAAGAGTGATTTCTTAGACCGAAATTAGAAACTAGTCTGACGCTGACGATCAAAAACGAAACATACTGGATGTTATTCTGATGAAATAACAGACCATATTTTTCTCGGCCAATTTACTGTCAATATAATCACCAGCTAATTAAGGGGCGCCCCTTTCTTTTCACGGATTCGACACCTTGCCGACCAAAAGGCAGACTGACCTTAAGATTTTTCTTATGGCGCCTTCGGCGCCAAATCATACTATTTTGAGGGGGAGCGCGGGCCAAAAAACGCAAAACATTTTAGCAAAGGCCAAAAAAGCAAAGGCCAAAAAAAGATTCGACAAAATTTTTGAATTTTTGTTTTTAAAAGCATAAAGTGTTTGCGTATGTAACTGAAATCCGGAGTCACGCCTTTAAAGATGTAAACTGAAAATTGTTCCAGAACCCACTAGCAATAACCCCCAACACAAATGTATTGGCTTTAAAGTGCATTGTTTTACTCAAGAAACATTAACATGTGTAAAGGCTTGTCTCTGGATTCCAGAGACCTACCAAAACCAATTTTCGTGTCTATCTAGTGCTCAGTTTGGCCTCGTGTGAAGGAAGATAAAATTCAAATTAGATGGTTGTGGTTGTGGATTGAATGGTTTGCCTTTTTTCAAAAAAATAGACCTGTTGTGGATTGCATGGTTTCTCTCATTTTTTGCGGATTCCACTATCAGTCAATTTTCCAGTTTTGTCACCACAACAGCTCGACCCGTGATAATAAACAGAAATTAGTTTTAAATTAGCTAGACGTCTGAAAACAATCAATTTGCTCATTACTCTTATTGTAACTAATTAGTATTGTAATCTGCCAGCTACTTTTATGACTCCGACGGTGTGCACTTTGTCGGGACTGAGTATTTTGAACTCGGCTGACGTTATGAGTGTGTTCCAATCTAAAAAAAAACACGTTTGATCAGTGGCGGATTTTTTGGACAAAACTTTCCAAAAAGTGCCCACAATTGGCATTTTTGACATGTTTTTTTTTAATTTTGCCTGCGGCGCAAAACTTTAATTCTTTAATTCAATATATGGCCTTATTGTGTTCTGGGACCGCTCGGAAAATCAATTAGGTCGACTTAAAAAAAAAGGTAGACAAAAGCTTCGAAACATTTTAGAAAATCCGTTCCTTCTTCGAGAATTTCCTTTGAAATCCTAGCGCCACCCCTACGTTTGATGAAAAATTTTTGCGAATTTGATTCAAATCAAAGTTTTTGGTCACTACAAAAGATTCTGGTCACTACTGAGGTCTGTTAACTGTTCACACTCAGTCTTCTTCAAAAGAATACAATTTTAGCCAACTTTTAATTTTCGAAATTAATTTTTTGTGCATTGAAATTGATAGAAACAAAGCTGAAAATGAAACAAGATTTAGTATTGATCAACTGAGATAAAAGCAAATTCTAGAAGATGCGTTTTGATATTTTTGATTGCCTCCCGATTATCAAAAGTGAAAACAAATCTATCGGGTGCTTTTTCAAATAAATCTGAACAAGATGTCATTAAATGTCTGATTAAATGAATTGATATTTAAAATTGAAAGATTTTTCTGTCATGATTCCAACTGCATTTAAAATTGAATTACAATCGGTCAGAGAAAAATTCCAATAGTTACCAAGATTGAAAATTATCTGTTTTGTGTTATTTGGAAATGAAGGAGCCAAGAAGTAAAATAGATCTCACATTCTATAAGCTATTGGGAAAATTTATCAAAAAAAAGGTTTTTCTGTTTTTTGGCTTAAACACTACTAGTCGGAGCCTTTATTACTTCCTGGCTTCCTGTACTAAAACCGACATTTTCTCTTTTTTGGACAATTACAGAAGAACCCTCTTCTGTTTATTGAACGATTACACTGATTAGATTTATAATGATATTATTCAAACCGATATTGCAAACAATCGCTAGTGTCATAATTTGGAGGGCATTTGAAAATTTTTTTTTTTTTTCTAGTTTTTTTTTCAGATATTTGCACTACCGGACATTGTATAATCAATTTCAACAGTCCATCAATCCTCGAACCGGCGGTCGGTTTGTTCGAAAAACAGAAAGTCTAATAGAAATGCTGCACCGATGAGTAATGCTTTGGCCTTCACGTCCAAATCCAATGGAAAATGGATAGAAAACTCCAAATTTGAGACATATCCATCATAAGTCGATTGGCGCACTCTCTTTTTTGGCAACAGATTACAATACAAGAGTGATTTCTTAGACCGAAATTAGAAACTAGTCTGACGCTGACGATCAAAAACGAAACATACTGGATGTTATTCTGATGAAATAACAGACCATATTTTTCTCGGCCAATTTACTGTCAATATAATCACCAGCTAATTAAGGGGCGCCCCTTTCTTTTCACGGATTCGACACCTTGCCGACCAAAAGGCAGACTGACCTTAAGATTTTTCTTATGGCGCCTTCGGCGCCAAATCATACTATTTTGAGGGGGAGCGCGGGCCAAAAAACGCAAAACATTTTAGCAAAGGCCAAAAAAGCAAAGGCCAAAAAAAGATTCGACAAAATTTTTGAATTTTTGTTTTTAAAAGCATAAAGTGTTTGCGTATGTAACTGAAATCCGGAGTCACGCCTTTAAAGATGTAAACTGAAAATTGTTCCAGAACCCACTAGCAATAACCCCCAACACAAATGTATTGGCTTTAAAGTGCATTGTTTTACTCAAGAAACATTAACATGTGTAAAGGCTTGTCTCTGGATTCCAGAGACCTACCAAAACCAATTTTCGTGTCTATCTAGTGCTCAGTTTGGCCTCGTGTGAAGGAAGATAAAATTCAAATTAGATGGTTGTGGTTGTGGATTGAATGGTTTGCCTTTTTTCAAAAAAATAGACCTGTTGTGGATTGCATGGTTTCTCTCATTTTTTGCGGATTCCACTATCAGTCAATTTTCCAGTTTTGTCACCACAACAGCTCGACCCGTGATAATAAACAGAAATTAGTTTTAAATTAGCTAGACGTCTGAAAACAATCAATTTGCTCATTACTCTTATTGTAACTAATTAGTATTGTAATCTGCCAGCTACTTTTATGACTCCGACGGTGTGCACTTTGTCGGGACTGAGTATTTTGAACTCGGCTGACGTTATGAGTGTGTTCCAATCTAAAAAAAAACACGTTTGATCAGTGGCGGATTTTTTGGACAAAACTTTCCAAAAAGTGCCCACAATTGGCATTTTTGACATGTTTTTTTTTAATTTTGCCTGCGGCGCAAAACTTTAATTCTTTAATTCAATATATGGCCTTATTGTGTTCTGGGACCGCTCGGAAAATCAATTAGGTCGACTTAAAAAAAAAGGTAGACAAAAGCTTCGAAACATTTTAGAAAATCCGTTCCTTCTTCGAGAATTTCCTTTGAAATCCTAGCGCCACCCCTACGTTTGATGAAAAATTTTTGCGAATTTGATTCAAATCAAAGTTTTTGGTCACTACAAAAGATTCTGGTCACTACTGAGGTAACGACAAAGTTTTCTCCAGGAGAGCAGAAAACTTTATAATGTGCAGAACTATTTTAAAATTTAATTTTCTTATAAATGAAAAAAATTGCCTATCGTTTTTTCGTTTTGGCTTTTAATTTTATATCCCCCTGTATGCTATGTAAAACACAAAATGATAAAAATTTCGCTCGGTTACGTATTCATAAAATCTAATTGCCAGATGAAATTAAATTTTTCTTCATACGTTAATAGAACGACGTATACAGTGCGCATTAACTGTCCCAAATTAGCCAAAAATTAGCCAAGTTCTAAAATAGTACCAAAAAAGGGGTCTTCTTTGAAAGGTGAGGTTATCGTGGAAAAAGCGTCACAAGAACGACTATATTTAGCCTCATTTTGGTATCTGAAATTGTTAATCTTGAAATGCCTCTTTTGGTTTTTAGATGAGGGACATCTCAAAGCGTCCTTGGAAAACTTTTAGACTTTTAGACTTTTAGACTCTGCATTTTAGATTGAGTAACTTACCAAAGTTGAAGACGTCGTAAGTTTCAATGAATAGAATGAAGTTTCCTTGATCGTCTCGGACTCTCATTTGATAATCACAACACGTTCCTTCCTCGCCTTGCAGAGCGATGAGAGGATTTAGTAAATAGAAAAAAAAAATTTCTCTCTCCTCGCTCCATTACAAGAAGGAAGAGTTTGTTAAAACCTTCACTGGTTACTGAAAACTTTTCTGTTTTGTTGTTAACTAAATTAAAAATTAAATAAGCAGTTTTCCTTGAATAGTTTTTCATTAAAGTATAATGTGGCGATTCAAATTATTCCAAATCCTTGTGCTTAGGGATGATGTTTTCATGTAGAAAAACTTTGAATTTTCACTGTATTTATTAAACCAGTTGCAAATATCAATGCCATCAAGTCAAATATCAAACTGTGTGTATTAATCTTCGATAATTAAATTTTTTTTTGAAACTAGCCAATTCAAGCAATTCGACAATTAACAAACTTTCGACTATAAGAAATTGTTCCAATTGAGGCTGGCAAGCTAGTTTTGTAACTGTTACATTATAGGTGAAATACTTCACTTTGTACTATTTTTGTATAGCGATTGGGTGATGGTTTTGAAAAAAAACCTCATTTTTTGTGTACTATTTTTGTATAGCGATTGTAATCCTCATTTTTTGTGAAGTTCTTATCAATTTTTTCAGAAATGATCAATGGATTCCATGGACGCTTGAGGGCAGTCGGGACACTCAGTTTTTCACCCTGGTATGAGCAGTCTAAATGACTTTCTATTAATATTGAAATTAATTTTATAATTGCAAAAGGATACAATTTTCGTTTTAATTGAGAGACAAATTTCCTTTTGGTTAACTTTGAAAATTACGGAAAAAAGCTCAATGCTAGAAAAATATCTCAGCAAACCGCGAAAATGTTTATGTTTAATTGACTAAATCCTCAGAGTACTAGCTTTGGGCCACTTTCCCAAGTTGCTTGCCTGTCGGAGTTACAACATAGATTTCTGTATTACACTGAGAGTACTCTTTTCTGGGTAAAATACAGACTGTTTTCCTTTTTTTTTCAAAAAATAAATGAAACAAAAACAAACTTTAAGACTTTCCATTATCTAAAATGAAAAAGCCAACAAACAACGAAATGTAAATCGATGTTGTTATATTGAGGCTAAAAATCTGACAAAATTATGTTTTTTTTGTCCGATTTACTCAGAAAATTAACAAATCCGATTTTGGATGGCGAAGGGCTTATTGTTGCACGTAAAACCTTCCAGAAAAGGCCAAGTACAGTTCGATTTTTAAACAATAAAATTTTTTAATAAACTCCAGCTGAATATGATTCATAAGGAGTTTAAATTAAATTTATCACTTTTCGGCTTATATATTTTGGATTGAAACTGATTGTACAGTATTTATTACCAACCTATCTTTCCATCATATATATATAATTGAACACTCTGCCTGTGTACAGTCAGACCAACTGCATAGAATCCGCAAAAAAAATGATCTCCAAGAAATCGCTTTTTGCGGTATTTGTCAGGATCTATTGATACCAAGAAAATCATTGCGAGGCCAAACTGTGCACTGGATAGGATTTTGTGTCTGTATGTTCCTGGATTCCAGAGACAAGTCTTAAATATGTACCAAAATGTAAGAGAATTCCACAAAAAAATTTCGGTGGATTCCGCGTGCATATACCTGTAACGTAAATTTTGCCGGCACATTTGTTTTGTTGCGGATTCCACTTGCAATTTGCGGATTCCACTTACAATTTGCGGATTCCACTTACAGTTGCGGGTTTCGCAACAGCTCAATTTAACGATACAAATTTTTTATCATTTGTTTGTGGATTCCACAAACTGTTCTGGATTCCACAAATACTGTTGCGGATTCCGCAAATTCGCCTAATTATGGAGCGATTTTGAGCGGTACAATGATTTAGGTATTTGTTTGTGGAATTCATAACAGCATAGAAGATTAAAGAAAAGAAGCAATGTTGCGGATTCCGTGACAAATCTGATTTTGACCTGTTGCGGAATCCGCTGACAATGCAGAGAACGCACATTTGGCCTCGTAATGATAAGAGTGAGACTGAGACAAGCTTTAGATTAAGAAGTTCAGTCCGTCTTATAGCGTGACGAACAAACGGTGTAGTCATGTAGTCAATCTGAAAATACTCAATGCCCTTAACCCCCAATCAACTCACTAAAAAACATTCAAGTGAACAATCTCTCATCTAAACGAATTTTTGAAGGAGACTGTTTACTTGAATAAAGACAATACTGTCAGTCTATCAAAATTTGAGATATTTGCATGTTAGCTTTGCTCACTAGGGACAGCGCCAACGTACATTTGTTCACGTTGAGTTGTTTAAGGATTATTGATTTTTTGATGAAATAGAAATAAACGGGAAAACAGTCGAAGTCGGGAGACCTGAAACGGAGTACTTCTGATCCATTGTTATCTGTAACATGCAGAATGAACCCCATCGTCGTAGGGCAACAATTACGCTCACATCCATCGAACTCCTCGCGGGCACAGAAGAACTAGAGAAATTCATATGACAAAAATGACAAAACAAGGCACCATTTTTTGGTGTTTTTAGTCTAAACATTTGCTTCTTGCATTCTAAAAAACCACTTCTTCTAGGCCATAAATCGCATTTTTTTAAATAAGAACATTTTTCAAAATTAATTAGAAGTTCTTTTTTCGTATACGGATCTTGCGACACCTTGAAAAATTTGACTCTAAAATTGAAAAGGATTTATTTTTATTTTTATGAGTGAGTTTTAAGATGGAACTTTTTTTGTTTTGATACAATAAGTTTTTAGTAGTTTCGTGTGAATTAGTTTTAATTTTTCACGCATCACAAAAGACTCCGCTCTAACAAAAAATAATACCAAAAACCATTTCACTCATGAGCTATTCCAGACAAGTGCAACTTTTACGCAAAATAGTTATACAACGCAACCAAAGCTATAGGACACGATTGACCAAACCCATTTGACACGACTTAATAATTTTCAACTGCTAAATAAGTATAGCGAAAAAAAATGCTTACCAAATTCACTTCAATTTTTAAAAAAAATTTTTCCATAAAAAATGGACACAAAAATAGAAAAAAAAGAAAATTAGCATAATTTCAATTTCGGCACTGTTGTATTTTGGCATGTTGAACGCCCCAACTATCCGTTGGAAAAGAGCTCGCAGAGGAAAAAGAAAAAAACTTGGATGTATTTTCTTCATTATTTACAGTTGCCAAAAATAATCCCTAGCTTTTAGAAGGAAAAAAACAATTTTTCAAAAAATTTAGATTACTGTAAAACAGGTGAAACTTACTACCAACCTAAGATAGGTATTTTAGACAATTTCAGAAGAGGGACGTTTTTGTATGGGAACGTAAGACTGAAAGCGTCTATTTGCTTTGCTTTCAACTTGTCTTCAAAAGTTTTTGTAAAGGGTTTTGGTTACTGATGATGAAAAACATTGCAATGCAGCTCAAGTTATGAGTAATTGACCTTTAACCTGATAAAAAGTTTGAAAGCGTCGGATGTTCATTTTTATACCTGCTTTTCAATGAAAAAAGACGAGCAAATCCTAAAGTTTTGACTATTCCTGGGTTGAATTTTCATTGATACTCATCGCTATTTCACAGAAAAATCGAAGTTTGCGAAGCAAGTTTTCTTTTTTTTAGGCGAGCGGGGTGTTTTGGTAAGAAAAGTCGGCGAAAAAGTTTTAAAAAAAAGATAGAGATTTAAATTCATTTAGTTTCATTAGCCGGAAATTACTCAAAACAGCAAAAAAAACATTAAAAAATTTTTGCTCCTTTGAATGTTTTTTAAAGGGTTTTAGTCAAGTTCATCAGTACATATTTTAACTAACATGTTGCCCAGCTGAATTCATGAGTACATATTTATTGTGAGTGATCGCGCCAGTCGTGCCTCCCGGTCTCATATCCACGTGTTTTTTGATGAACACCTGGTCAATCTGAGCCAGGTACTCCAGACCAGGCGGGCACCCATTGGGAATCCAGTTGTTGTACTGAGTGGCGCCTACTTGCATATCTCTGGACAAATAAAATTTTATTAAATTTACGGCTACCCATGGATGAAATATCTAAAAATTGTACGTATACAAATCGAATTGAATCAGTGTAGAAAAAAAGTTTTGCTTTGCAAGAAAATAAATTATTTATTTAGTTCCAGAAAGGGTTTTCTGGGTTACAAGTAGGTCAAATTTTTGAAGAGAGAACACTAACCAGTCTTAACACCTCCCCCAGAACTGCTCTATAGGAGATATTGTCCTTAATGTCATGTGTCATGTGAAACCCCCTCCCATTTAACCCAATAGGGAAGTGTGGCTCTTCTATCCCTTCTAATTTTTCATTTTTAGTTTTTTTTCTAGTTTTTTTCCTATCTGCATTTTAGTTAATAGTCAGTTTCAAGTTTTCAATCTATTCCAAAAGCCGTTTTATATGTCGAGCGCTAACCGTATGTTCTAACTTAACTTATGTCTCTTGGTTTTGGCTGGTTAATTTACATTCTGCAGGATTATAACATGAAGATGGAAGGACTGAAAGTGCTATTCAGGACAAAAATATCAAATATTTACAAAAAATAACTGAAATGAAGTTGGTAAAATAATTTTTGTCTCCCACATTCAGTAGCGGATTAAATTAATAACTATGATAAACAGATTCTGAAAGCTCTGAGGATATGGGCTTAATTGCAATTTCAATGATTGAGTTCTTGAAAATTTTTTGATTTTCTATGTTCCAAGTTTGATTAGATTTCAACTTACCAACAGCTTGTTTATTGTAAACAGTCAGTAAAATTGTAGAACTTCAAAACAATCAACACCATTTATGGTTTCAATCAATTAAGACAGTAGAAAAATCTGCATTGTTGATGACAGCATGATAAAAATTTGACTGTGAAAGCTACTGCAGTTTGGTTCATTTGTTCGTAGCATGAATGGTCAGATTATTTTTGGTGTTCAAAAACTTTTAAATGTCACTAAAAGAATCATCATTGGAATTAAATATCTGCAAAACAAATCATCTTGTTTTTGAGATATTAAAACGAAACCCAGATAACTTTACTGCTCAAAAACGGTGTCATACCTTAAGGTATGATTCGTTAATTCTTGAATCCGTATGAGATGATAAAGCCGATCTTGAGAGGAAGAAGTTAAAACAACTATTTAATCATAACGTTAATTATCTTTCTGAACCGTAGTTGACTTTAGCCGCCGTGCTCGTCCTCACTATCAAGGTCAATCGACCAGTGTACATCAAGGTAAATAACATAATTAATGTACAAATACAAATGAAGTTTATATGGAGTTTTATCAATCAATGCCGGATGACATTGCCCCTTCTCGGGAAAAATTTACAGAGTTTTTAATGTTGAGTTTTTAGTCCCCATGGGACTGCTTGTCCTGCATCCTTCTCTACTTTTCTGTTTTTGCTCCTCCTTCGTTGTTTTCGTTGTTGTCATCCACTGTCTCGTGCTCCTCGTCATTTTGTAGTTGTTCGTCTCCTTTTTCTTGTGTCTCTTTGTCGTTGCTTTTCACGAATAGTATCTCATTGTTTTCCGTTGTCTCGTCTTCTGTTGGGGATGTTAAGTCGATAGCGTTGCTTGTTGTGGTTTGCTTGTTTTTCGGGCTAATTACCTCTATGAGTTTCACGCAAGCGTTGTACTCAGGGGTTTTTTCAGTAAAACCTATCTCTTGGATTAGGGATTTCAAGCTTGGATAGCTTTCCGGCGTTGATTTCTATAGTGGCAAATCTATTTCGAGTTGCATTGTCCTGGAGGTGTTTGTATTTTCTATCACGTTAATTGGGACAGGGTTCCCAAGTGCTGTTGTCAGAGTCGCCTGTCGGTTTCTAGTCGACTTTCTTGTTGCAACTGTGGGCGGCGCACGCTTTCGATTTTGTCGTTTGGGCGACGGGGAGATATCCTCTCATGTTGTCGAAGAATTGTCGTCCTTCTCTGAGCTGCTTCTGGTTTCCTTTTCTTCTTCTAGTGTCACTTACGTCTGCTGACTCATTCCTCGTGGCGTCTGTCTTTTCCTTGTTGGTTTCCCACCTGTTCTCTTTCCTGTCGCCTTGGTTGCTTTTCGTTTTGTGGGGCTGCTTTGGCTGCTGTTCTGCTCCGCCTTCTCCTGCTTTGTTAGTTTGATCGGCAGTCCAGTTCTAGCATCCTCTTCGAACATCGGGTGTTGTGGGGCATTTGGATTTTCTATGTCTAAAAAAGGTAAGCATGGTCCTGCTCTCCGTGCAGATTTTTGAGCGACATAATCGCTGATTCGTGAGGGTCTGCATGGTCCGTATATTAATGGGGTTAGGAACAAATGCTGTTCCGCTATTTCTCAATACCCTTGGTTGCTTTCCAAAAGTTTGTACGCTTGCAGTGTGTGGTGTGTAGGTCAGGTTTTTTTCCTCTATGGTCTTATAATTTTGCTCAAAAATTTTTGGATTCTCAACCTTTGTTGCTAATCTAATAGATTTGCGTGCCACTTGTTCTATTCATTTTTCTTTGTTTTTGTCAAACGTTCTTTGTACTCCCTTGTATTTTATGTTAAATTTGTTCTCAGCTAGTTCTATGGATTTAGAATGTTCACCTGTTTCTAGCTGTGTAGGTGGTTGCGTGTTTTTGAGCGTCCTTGGTAGCACTTGATGTGTGTTTTTTGGTGGCGATCCTTTCTTTTGAATTCGTATTTCATCCTCCGACCAGCGTTGAAAGTCGTGCATATTTTTTGCTGGTAGTGGTGTCTTCGTAAGGTTCTTTCGATCTAAACATGCATGTTTTGCGTTCTCCCAGTTTAGGTTGTTTGGTGAGCTATTCGTGGCTATACTTGAAAGCGGGGTATTTGGTTTTCTGCCCATATGTGCCTAGAATGGTGAAACTTTTGCGACACCGTGTTGTGTGATTCTCAGTGTTTTTAATATTTCTGCTACATCTGAAGCTAGTTTGTATGGTGTGTTTGATCGGTCTATTTTCTTTAGTGCCAGCCTACGTTTTATTGTCTGAATCATCTTTTCAACGACTCCTTTTGCTCTGTGATCATCTATCGGTGCGAATAGTAGTTTTATGTTTCTTGTTCGAGAAAAAGTTTGGAATTTTTTTAGCTCTAAATGTTTATGCTTGGTCGCATCTTAGTCTTCTTGGTGCCCCGTTTTTGGAAATGTATCTCTGCATGAAATTAATTGCAATGTCCGCTGTTGTATTTGACACAACTTTTGTGTTGGGAACTTTGACCCTTTATCTATCGCAACTAGAATATATGCATCCCTATTAGGTTAATCCGGAAGAGGCCCTGCGAAAAATAATTGGACCTCTTCGTTAGATTCTACAACCCGTTCCATCTGAAAGAACTGCCTGTTTCACAATATTGATTTTAAGTTTTTACCTTGCTCGGTGCAGTGTCGACAATTCTGCACAATTGAGCGATGGATTTAAGGAAACCAGACATGCTGACATAAATCCAACATGACTGCGGATCCCGGATGGGTCAGATGGAGGCTGTCCAGCACTGTCTGTCTGAGTTGAGTGGGTATGACAATTCTCTCGTCAATCAGCAGGCAATCCTCTCTGACGTGCAGTCTATTTCTGATGTTGGGCCAGTACTATCTGTTGGAGGTTTTTATGGAATCACAGTATCGTTTCTTGGCCGCTCTCTTTCTTGGTGGCCGCGGCGATTAAACTGACCCCAGTACTCGCTGGAGTCTTCGACGGAATAATGGCGTGTCTTCTTCCGTCTCTGTGGCTTTCTCCACTGTTGCGACCATTCCTTCCATTGTTTCGTGGTGACTGGCCTCTACCTCTAGTTGTGATGAAATCGTCATCGTCGACGCCTCCCCGATGTGTGTTCTCTCTTCCTGTAGGCATACATTGGGGTCCACACGGCTGACCCATATTTCTTGTAGGTTGTCGGTTCCTGTGTTGTTTTCTGTTTGTGTGGCTGTAGTTGACTTGTTCGTTTCTGTTTGGGTGGCTTATGTGTCTGTTATTGCGCTCTTCTGTTCTATTGTTGTTTTCACTGTCTCCGAAGATTTTTCTTGGGAAGTTTGGTTGTTTTGTTTTTGGTATTAACTTCCTTGCGTCGGCAACTGGCGCAGTCAAAGTGGATGCTGTAGGTGACTTTGGGTCTGTTTTAGTTTTTCTGCCTTTGTTTGGGGGTCGCTTGTGCCACGTCGGTCCGAAAGGCCCACCTCCCGGTCGAATGTGCCTTGCCAATCTGAGGAAGTTTCTGATCCGCCGCGTGGTCGTTTGACTTTAATTCTGGGGAGATGAACCCACCTTTGAAATTATTCGTCTCTTTCCTGCTCATCTCTGCGTGTTGTTTTAATTTGATCGCGTTGATCGAAGTTTTGCAGCAGTTTGAAGTTTTTGAATGAGAGAAAGTTGGCTGGTTGTGAGCAGATTTTGAGCTAGTCTGAAAATGTTTTTCGGGTAGCAATGTACCGCTTGTGGAACGTTTGGAATGCTTAGTTGTTAAATGAGCGTTTCAACTAGTATCTAATAACCCTCTATTTTCTGCCCGCTTTTTGATCAGATCATATAATGCTCTATTTTGATTGGCCGGATTGTTTAGGATGACATTGTCACTCATCTCTAGGTTGTTTTGAATGCGTTGATTGACGCTACTACAAACTCCTCATCGTACTCACTGGGGGTATTGGTAATCCAACCGGATTCCGTGACATTTAATCTATTAGTCCCATTTTATTCCCAGCGAGGTGCTTAATGTGGAAGGGAAATGGTATTATTCTGTCGATCCAGCGGGTCAGTCTACTTTCGCTACTTTTTGATTGTTCGCTTGCGTTTAAAGCGCTGATTAAAGCTTGGTGGTCGGTGATGACGGTAAAATGTTTGCCGCAAAAATAGTATTTGAAGCATTCGATTGCCCATAGGACCCCTAAAAATTCTAGTTCAATGAGGGAATGTTTTTCCTCGAGGGCATTTAAAAAACGTGACGCGTATGCTATAGCCACCCAACCTTGTTGTTCTAATGAGTGTTGTTCTAATGCTGCCCCTAGTCCTCCATTAGATGCATCGCAGACGATGCGAATTTCTAAATAATGGTCAAAATGTTTATTTTGTGTTGTTTTAGCTTCTAATTGTAGGATGTTTTTGAAAGCTATGTTGTGCCCTGGTAACCAGTTGAGTGGTCTGTTTTTCTCAGTGTTTTTTAATATGGGCCGTAGGTCTGCCGCTGTTTTTGCTAGATTCGGTATATACTTTGTTAGGTGATGTATTAAACACATGAAGCTTTTTAGTTGCTCGAAAGTTTTGGGGTGATAGTTTCTGAATTGATTCAGTTTTCTTTAAAAGTGGTTCAGTTCCTTCACTGTTGATGTTAAAACCTAAACACTCAACCTGTTTGCATGCAAACTTACTTTTATCTAGTGAAACTGCGAGAATCTTTTCGTCTAGTTTTGTTAGGACTGTTTGGAGTTTTTGGTGGTGTGTCTCTATTGTTCCGTTCGTTACGATTAAGATATCGTCTAAGTACGCGTAGGTATTGCTGCAGTTAGTAAGTGTTAAATCGATTGCTTTCTGAAATTGTGCTGGCATATCCGTAAGACCGCATTGTTTTCTTGTTATTTTGTCCGACGGGTTTTGTGAGTATGCATATCGTAAGTCGAGTGTAGAGAATAATGTCTGATTTGACTTGTCTGATTTCACCATTTGAGCGATGTTATCCAGGAGTAGAGCTATGTTGGGCATTTGATATTTGTTTTTATGAATGAATTTGTTGATCTTTTTGGAATCTAGCGCCAGTTTGACTGTTTGGTCTTTTTTTACTGTTATAAATATTGGGCTGATGAATTGTTCATCTGAACATTTGTCTAGTTTGATGATCGTCCATTTGTCTAGTTTTGGTCCATCGATTTGTTTAGTTCCGCTTCAACCCGTTCTTGTAGGTGTATCGGTACACGTGTGCTCTTTTGCTGTTTTGGCTCGATTTCCTTGTTGAAGTGTGTTTTCATTGCATGGTGTTTTGCCTTTCCTATGCGTACGCATAGCTGTTGGAAGTTGTCCTTGACCCATTGTTTAATCTCAGGGTTTGACTATTCTCTTTCTTGTACGTTAAGTAGCCTGTAAGTTTGCTTTTCCTGAATCAATCTAATACCTATGCGTGGTAGCAGATTTCGTAATATGATATTTGCCTGGTCGTCCACTATAATGAATGGAGCCGCCTGGATTTTCCATCCTCCCGACTCAATTGTTATTATTAGTCTTCCTTCTGGATGTATTGACTCGCTATTATAGCATGCTAGATTCCTAGCTGTGTCCTGCGGTGGGATATTTCTAAAAACTGCTGTTTCGTTGTTATGTTGTATTCGTTGTGCAGTTTTCTCGCTGAGAAAGGACACTGGGCTGCCCTCATCGGTAATAGCGAATAGTTCCATTGTGTTTGTTCTCAATTTAACAATATGTCCATTAAGATCGTCTTCCGATAGTGTTTTTGTGCTTTTGATTTCAAACTATTCCGCGATTGCCATCACCGAAAGTTTGTCTGTTTGATAGTCTTCCCAACCATTCTTTGTTCTTTGTTCTTTGTAGTGAACTCGGCCAATGCGATGGGGTCATTGTCAGTCTCCGTGCTTGCTGTTTCTACTTCCTCTTGTTGTTCGTCGTTTGGGTTTCCCAAGAAGTTAAGATTCGTGGAATGGCAAACTTTCGCGAAGTGCCCGCGTTTGGCATATTTCGAGCAACTTTTGTTTTTTGCTGGACATGATTTTAGGTGGATATAACAATGTCTTGAGTTTGTGTTCCGTTGTTGTTGTCCCATTGTGTTTTGAGTTCCACGTGAGTACGGTCGGCCGCAAGAACCGCCAGGGCCTCCCTTTTTTTTTGTTGATTGTATCTGCCACGTGTATTTAAGTAGTGTACCGGCTCTTGTTTTGTGGTCGTTGTTTGTATTCCGAACGGGTTTGTTTTCTTAGTACGACCGTGATCTCTTCCTTTTGCTAGCCGTATCGCATATTCGTATGCATCCTGTGGGCTACGTGTTTGTGCCAGCAATTCTTCTGCAATCTTTTCTTTGTTAGTTTGAGCGGTGAACATATCTCTAACCCACTCATCTTCCCGGTCGCCGCAGTCAGCCCGTGAGGCCAGTTCTATTAGATCTGCATGGAATTGTTCTAAATTTTTTGCTTTCTTGTTTTCTACAGATAAAGTTGTACCTCTCAAAAGCTATTATGC